TTATTCTATCTTTGTGGAACTAAGTTCATGTCTACACCAAGCAACCTCTTTGCTGGAAACCAGGTCCAGCGTCCTTATTGGTCTTTGTACAAGTAGTGGATTGACTCTCTGAAACCCAATACCGTGTATTAAGACTTACTATTTCAGAAAAAGGAACTTCAATTTGAAGGCTAGTGTCACATTTGTTAGTTCCTTCTTCCCACAGTAAGCGGGAAAAGAATAACTTGCCATTGGCTGTTCTCCCTGCCCATTGGACGGGGGACTCCCACTCGCTTGTTAGTTTCGGGGTGGTGACGTCCCTCTTTAGTTTCCTTTGTTTGGATCTTCTGTATTCTGCCAAGATCTACAATCTTACCATATGTCTGAAGCTGTTTCTCAGGACCGGTTGGGCAGTGTTGTTACCTTTAAATCGTTTGTCCCTCCTTGCCAACCACAGGACCCAGAAAACAATTGCGCGGAATTTCAGTGCCACCTGTTTCCTAATGTGAGTTGATGTGTCACCTGTTAGAACAAAGTTCTGATCCCACCTGATGGAGTCTCCGTAAGCTTTCCGCCACAGGTCTTGGAGCCACTCCCAAAAGCCTCGTGCCACCACACATTCCCACCACAGATGTGCTGAGGACTCCACCCTGGGGTAAGGGCATTGTTCGCAGTGTATATTGATCTGCATACCTCTGTCAGAGCACCATTCTGCTGTAGGGACACAGGAATGCATATGCATCCATTGCAATCCCGCCATTTTAATTTTTGTGATACCTTGAATCATCTGGCAATACAGAGGGAACCAGACGGAAGAAAATGTGGTAAAGTCCATACTCCTAGTACCCTTATTCCATGAAATCCATGAGTGTGCAGTCAGTGTTGACTGCGCACCACAACTTTCGTATGTCCTGAATGACAGTCTACCTTCGGTATTTATTTGTCCACAGTAATGATTTTCGTGTCTGTTGTCTCTGCGTTTTTGGACCAGCCCACCCTTGAGCAGTCTAGTCGCCCTTCCCCTTGGAGATAGGGTGTGTTAGAGACCTTCAGTTGGTGTATGCCTGTTGAATTAACGACAGTTTGTACTTTGACCAGGACTCCTAATCTGTCCTTTGTCATTGTGACAGGTCCCTCCTGTCTCTGGATTTGTTCGCCTTGGGACTCCCATATGTCTGTCTGGAGGGTGCCATCCCCGTTGCTCTTAAGGACCTGGATAACGATGTTGTGCTGTTTGGCGTCTTCCCACGAGGAGTCCTCCAGCCAATCGTCTTCCTCCTCCTTCAAAAGTTCCCCGGCTGAGATGAAACCTCGAAGACCCTGCCCGACGATTTCCTGATAGCTGGGTTCTCATATAGGCAGCATGTTAGTACTTCCTCTGCAGAGGCTGGTTCCCTGATGTATGCGGGGGACATCTTGGACCAGGCCCTAAGAATCGGGGCTCATGTTGGTGATTTTGTGTTCCTTAGAAACGGTTGGAGGAGCAAGCAGTCCCAGACTGCCTCCTCATTGTTGAGATTCCAGTCTGTTGCTAGAATGGTGAGAGCCAAACGAACCCATGGTGTGTCTGGCTGTTCAGTAAGGAGTCTGACGGACCATTTAGATAGCAGTGCTCTGTTCTGATTAGTAGGGTCGAGAACCCCTAATCCTCCCTCACCTCTCTTTTCGGTGATTTTCCACCAGGCCACCTTAGGGATACATGAGGGAATGTCAGAGTCTCCTTTCCAGATGAATCTGTGCCGATGATTGAGACAATTCTTTAATTAAGAGGATGTACCAGACCGTAGAAAGGATGCACACGTTGGATACTAGAGCCCGACCGAACAAGGATAAAGATTTCCTTTTTGACCATTTTGAGCAGGCATTCCTGATGCGTTCCTCCACAATTGAGCCTTGGGTCTTGCTACAGTTGGAGAAGGACACTAAAATCCCCAGGTATCTTTCTGACTCTGTGTTGCTTAGAGTTCGAATCCCTAGGTCGATCGCCAGGGGTTCCCCGTTGGGGGTTAGTGCTATTGACTTCAAGTTCTGCCAATTCACCTTTATTTCTGACGCTGACTCATATATTGTGATGCATTCCCTGAGATCTTGTAACGATCCGGGGGAGTTTTCCGATATAGCAAAGGAATCGTCTGCTAAAGCTGAAGCGCTAGTCGCGCTAGCAAAAGAGAGAGAGAGAGAGAGAG